CGTGCAGCTGACCTGAGATGATTGGCTGAAGGCATAGCTCCTTGGGACTTCAAGATCCTGAATGGCTGATCTTGTCCTGCACTTTGCACGTTCTCCACCCAAGGTTGATTCTGAGCCGAACCAATGACTGGTTCATTTTGGTTGAATTTTTGACATGATTTGGCTTGCATTTTGCAACAGTCCGCTCTCAGCCTGTTGGCTGATTTTGAGCTGCACCAACCGATGGTTGATTTTGGATTTTGGATTCTGGATTGAATGAATGCATTGAGCAGAGCCTTCGGTCAATAGACCCTGGTTTTCGACTGGCATCCTCACCATGCCACATGGCTGCTGCTACGCAAATGTTCTCCCACAGAGGAGTCCGCTAGCCACTGTGCTAGTGAAGGCTGCGCAACCCCCCTGGGCGCGTGAGAAGAAGAAGTTGTTGTTGTTGTTGTTGTTGTTGTTGTTGTTGTTGTTGTTGTTGTTGTTGTTGGTTGTTGTTGTTGTTGTTGTTGTTGTTGTTGGTTGTTGTTGGTTGTTGTTGTTGTTGTTGTCGTTGTCGTTGTTGTTGTTGTTGTTGTCGTTGTTGTTGTTGCTGTTGTTGTTGTCGCCTGAGAAATGGTTGCGCCAATCGTTGAGATATGTACTGTACAACAGAAACATCAAGAACTGGTCTATATCCACAAACTTGTTCAACCCATCAATGCACAGCCAGGTTTCGCCAATGAAGAAGAGCGTGAAGCACACTTCAAAGACCTGCGACTCAGGCCAAGTCGTCTTGCAGAGGGGCTCGAAAAGGTTCTGGTAGGTCGGTAAGATGAGTGGACAGAGAACCAGAACCAAACACAATCACAAATAGTACGTCCAGCAGGTTGCTGATAGAATATCAATTGGGTTTTCGCTTGGCCTTTGAACATTCCTGGAAGCCCAACGGCCCAATTTACAATTTTCTAGGTCGTGATGGCCTAAGGGCAAAAACGAATTTCCTGATGTCCGTGCTCCGATCCTCATGACTACTGCCTGCCTTCCAAATATCAGCTTCTGGATCGTTGTCCAAGCTGATGCCAGCAATCTGAAGCGTTCGCAAGGCATTGAGTGGTGGAGGTCTTTGAATCGGTGGATCATCATCTACGCAAACCGGTCCGATTTGTTGACTACTTGATGATGACAAGCCGCGGCAGCGCTGAGCAGGATCACCACAGCAGGGATCACGTCTAACAAGAGCAAGAAGACCGAACCCGCCTGATCAATAAAAACAAACAGTGCGGTTGGGTCCCAAAGCCCCGAGGTAACAGGTCTCACAAAGTTTCCGCACTGGACCACAGGAACAGTTCATCGTACTTTGCAACCTTTGCTTCGATTTATGCAGCCTCTGACTTGCGATATCAAACATATGTGCTTTTTGTGTGCCATTCGGTGATTCCGCGGACACACCATGCTTGGGATCAACAAAGCTTAGGCCTAGGACAAAACCTCAAATTGATATAAGGGATCATTGTAACAATAACAGGCATCAACATGTTGCCATCTGCCTAGTAGATCTGGGTCTAAATGTACGAATTGTCTTGCGCCCAGATCCATCGAGCATAAACTCACTTGCGCTCATTTGCAGATCACCCAATACCTTCGGTGGCCTCTGTCTCCTCGTCATCCACCGCTACCTTCTTCTCCCCACCAACACGGGAGCCCCTGAAGGGATCTGACCACTGAAGCTCAAGTCGTCAAGGAGTGTGTGTGTGTGTGAGAGAGAGAGAGGGGGAGATTGTGCAATGTAAGGTGGATATTTTGTTCAAGGGAATGTCATTCCACTCATACTGCACTAGAAATGGCATGTGCATGAGGAAGGATCCCCACTTCCAAGTTTCCATGCTTCAGTTAAGCCACTGCCGCTTCAGGGACTTCGGCATGGCACTTGGAGTCCCAGGGGCTGCAGGCACCCCGCGACTGACGTCATGCAAGGTCATCAAGCCTCAAGTTCCAATGGAGAGAAGACCAAATGAGGAGTGGATTCTTGTGAGGTGCCTCTGATGAGAGAACCACCAATTGCGCTTGATGTGGCATCCACGGGAGTGCTAAAGTGGAGGGCATTTGGAGGGTGTTGGCCATTTCCCCCCCAAAAAAAAAAGGAATTCATGTATCCTCAAATTTCGGAGTTGGACAAGTTTTTCCTCCATTTCAGATTTCCTACTGATTGATGCCCACAAGTCGATGCTTGCAATGCAGAGTCGAAGTTGGATGAAGTAAAAGCAGGCATTAAATATCCAGAGGCATCAGAGCATAGGGACTTCAACTGAAAACGTCCTCAAAAGCTCTCCCGTTGGCTTTCCTTGTTTGCTGCCAAAGATGACAAGGCTCTGTCACTGACAATGCCAGGGAGTTCCAGTGTCGTGCTGGCATCCGGGGTGGCGACGTAGGCTGTTATGGGCTGCAAGGGCGGAGGAGAATCCTGCGTGGGTGGGCAGTAGCTACAAGGGCAAGACGTGGTGGCCACAACCACCAGGCGCGCTATGGTTTTAAATTACACCGGCATACCCCAGATAGCGGGCGGGTGTATAGGTTTGTCACCTCTGGCATGACATGATGTCATCCCTGGGCATGACATGATGTCATTTTGGGCATGACATGACACCGGCAAAGCAAAACGCCGATCCAGAACCAGCACCAGCACGGCAGCAAGCAGCACCCGCAGAACGAAACGCCGGTCCAGAGCCAGCACCTGCACCTGCACCAGCATCAGCACGGCAACAGCACCCGCAAAACCAAAACGCCGATCCACAGCCAGCATCTGAACCTGCACCGGCATCAGCACGGCAGCAGCACCCGCAAAACCAAAACGCTGATCCAAAGCCACATATAGCCTGCAGCTATCTGGGGAAAAATACATCATGTCCCAGGATCCTAGAATATGTAAATGATGGTCGATGCCAAAACGCCAGTAGTGTGGATTTGAGGATGAGCTGATGGTTTAAACGAACGCTCTTCTGTCTCCTCCTGCCGTCGCAACCTCAACAGAGATAGGCTGCCATCCTCTTGCATCCTGGGCAATGCATGAGAAACTCCATCCAAGACTCTCCAGAACACTCAGATCCCGATCCTCCCAAATTGGGCACATCAAGCCTCATCTTTACGTCAAATTGCATTCCTCCACAACTGCCAGTCTGTCAGTGTCAAGACTCCATGTTCAACCAAACCGACGGTGCTGGAAACAAGATTCTTGCTTATTTGGCGGATCAGCAATGCTACAAGCTCTCATCCAAGTCACTCTTTTCGCAGCTCTCCATTTTCGATGACCACGCGCTCATATTCAGCACTGAGTGCCAGCAGGTGTCGATGAAACGGGCTGTCCCCGAAGGTCATTGCGCATGAAGAGACGCAGGCGACACAGTGACAATTCCAGGCGGCCAAAGTTCTGGCAAGCTAACAAGCTAGCACAATCTAGCTGAAGGAAGTGGAGGTCTACAAAGTCTAGCTATATAGCTTCCTCTTCATCCCAAAAGCACATGTTTTTAGTACTACATGTTTCATGTCTTGCTGCACTTGGAGACTGAATCCGACTTGTGTCCTTTGGATGCGTTCTGGAGCCGTTTGGCAAACGGGTTTATATCGAGCACGGAGAAGATCAGTATGATGGTCATCGAGTCATCAAACTGAAGAACTCAAAATGACCTTCACGCGTAAGCATACGATGGCAGTGCCCATGATATGGCGCAGTTGAATCCACAAATACTGCAAAAGTTGTCAAAGCACAACTACTCAGTACATCTCAGTACTGTATAATAACACAACACCACTACTTTTCATATACCAGGAGGCCATGAATCTTCACCAAATCTTCAGCACCACGCACCGATCCGCTCCAATTTTCAATCAAATGGCATCGGTCAAACCACCAACGCTTCAGTCGCTGGCTGCTGGGGAACTTCAAGCCAAGGTCCCCAGTAACCTACAAAGGACAATGGCAGGAGTGGGTATGAGTTCAGTTCAGGTCCCTTTTTAGAAAAGATACGGTCTAAAGGTTAACCCCAAACGCACACAGAAACATTCACACTCGTCTGTGTGGCAGAACAAATCTTTCTGGTTAGAGCACCGATGAGCAACTGATCTACAGCCGCTCAGCTTGAACAGTCAGAATGTAGTGACGACCAACCATGTCTTGCCAACACCTTCCAATCGTTTTGATGAAACAACTCATGCTGGAAGCGAGCTCAACGACCAAGTGGCCGTGGTACTCCTGCTTTGCCTTCTTGCATGCGCCATGATCCTCTCGCTGGGAGGGATACTGTTCTGCAATCAGGTCTGCGACCAGAAATCCTATCTATATATTACATATATACCTGGTACAAAGCCAGCGCTTCCGACCCCTTCTTCCCACTCATGAAGAGCAAGGTTTAAATGCTACCATGAATCGCAACAAGCACACCTTTCCGAAAGCATCCAGGGGTGAAATTAAGAGGAGGTTGAGCGTCAACCGACCCCTGGAGTCCTCAGGCCCTCGGTCAGGCGAGTAGACGCTGCGCTGCAGCTCGTCTACACGCTTCAGGAGAAATTTGAAAATATCCGGCTGAGACGCAGCAAGCCTCCGCGTCACGCGACGCTTGGAGGATGATTTGTGTTTACCATAATTAGAGTTGATGGTGGTCGAGCGGGATTTCTTTTGGAGTTCAGAGATTGCTTAATTTACAAAGATTTTTTTCCACCTGCAACCCCCCAAAATTTACACCAGCATTGACCCAGATAGCCAGGCAGAATCCCACGACCTGTTGACATGCGACAAAAATGAAGCAATCAACAATACTTAAACTGACCTTTTGGACTGTTATGTTGTTTTTGAATAAATTTTGATTTGTTATACTGCTATGATATTAGTTGAGAAACTTCACTCAATCAACTTCTTTACATTTTTTCACCCGGCACCAGCACCAGCAACCTGTCTCCACCACGCGCACAGCCAGCTCACAGCACCAGCACCGGCACCGGCACCCGGCACCCAGCACCAGCACCGGCACCTGGCACCAGCACCCGGCACGCGCACAGCCAGCTCACAGCACCGGCACCGCACCCGGCACCAGCACCAGCGCCAGCAACCTGTCTCCACCACGTGCACAGCCAGCTCACAGCACCAACACCAGCGCCGCGACCCGGCACCCAGCACCAGCACCAGCAACCTGTCTCTACCGCACGCACAGCCAGCTCACAGCACCAGCACCAGCACCGGCACCCGGCACCCAGCACCAGCACTCCACCACGTGCACAGCCAGCTCACAGCACCAGCGCAGGCTCACAGCACTAGGAGTAGCACCGGCGCCCGGCACCAGCACCAGCAACTTGTCTCCACCACGCGCACAGCCAGCTCACAGCACCAGCGTGCACAGCCAGCTCACAGCACCAGCACCGGCACCCGGCACCAGCACCAGCAACCTGTCTGGACAGCGCGCACGGGCAACTCATTGTTATTTGAAGTAAGAACCCCATAGCTTCGCTATCTGG